GGTGGAACCGACCTTCGAATCTCTTCAACCAACACTTTCACTCGAAATCGAAGTAAGCTCAACAATTATGAAACAAGAGATCCCTCAAAACCCAACTTTTCTTCGTACATACGAAGATAAGCTGAGTTTCGAAGAGTCCCCCAGTTGATTGATACTGGGGTACCATTTATTTGCTCTTTAAAGACGGGTTAAACGAATTCATCAGTTGGCTTCATTATTTTGTGTTTATATGGTGGTGTTTAAGTGAAGCAGACTTGTCAACCCATACAGAAGAGATTATCAAAACACAAAGCCGTCTACAAAGGCTTATAAATCAGAAATCGGAGGTGGCTGAATATGTGGTCACTATGGGACACCGGATAGATGGTCTTAAAACCAACGTTATGTCGGATATGGGGACTTCATAGCAAAGCGAAAAATTAGGAAGTCGATTATGATCAACACAAAACAAATTACATCCTGAATTAGAGAAACGAGTGTAGAAAACTGAGCAAGAACTTTATCTAACTGCTGGATAGAATTGACGAAAGAGAGAGAGAGAGAGAATGAGAAGTAACAGGAAGAAGCATTGGAAAACAGAGAAAACTCGACTAAGCTGGAGTCTGGTTTGGGAACCAAAATTGCCAACTTACTCGTGATTATGGCATACACACAGCGCAAAAACGCCTCAGAATTGCAGGATCATAAGCTGATTTAGCTACATAAATAAAAGTTTTTACCACCTCTGCTCCCTTTCTCGCATCAACTTTATTTGTCTACATTCATGTAAGGCAAGCATAAAGTAGCCAACCTTTAAGATCGCAAAATGAGGTATAAGAAGTAAATATAATCTCAGTTTGCCACCTTTCTTGGTTGAGTGTTATTTCGGTGATTATTCGAGCATAATGGTTTCTGGCTCTAACCATGTCAGTCGAAGGATGGACGAAAGCTCAGCACGAATTGCTTAGTGTAGCAGAACGGTGAGCCAAGGCCTTCTTCGCACTATCCGACAATCACAAGTTCAAGGCACCCCTCCTTCGGTATCCGGTAGATCCAATTTATGAATCTCTTCCACCCGCATTTTAAAGCGAAATAAAAGGTATGCCAGTATCAAGATCTCGGCTTACCGTCCTGCCACTTGGATGAATCCAGGTCTAGCTTTTGTATGAATTGTGACAGACGTGGTCATCCGAAAAAACGATACATTACAAAAAAGCGCTCTAACAGGCTTAAGTCAAAGAACCTTGCTTGGACAGACCGCAAACGTACTTAATTCTAATACATAATTTCGTGATATAACTTGGGCATCCCATGATTTGATTGGCTTATTCGTGAGCAGGAAATGGATACTGTCGCTGATATTTCTTTACATAATAAGTCAGTCCTCAGTTATCTATTATTGACGCATGTTTAGGCAAGTTGTATTCTGTATTGTATGTATGCAATGTTCAAGTCATATGAGGTGAAATCGCCCTAACCAGACTCAAGTCTAATCT